GCGATCCCCACCCGTGCTGTCTTTGCAAAGACAACTCTGTGTGTGTGTGTCTGTGTGTGTGTGTGTCTGTGTGTGTGTAGGACCGCCTGGGTCTCTCTTCCCCCCTCTTCCTATCCCCAGGCCAGATAAAAAGGCAAGGCCAGCCGGATGTGTGCCTTAGGCTGTAATTGCGAGACCCCTGCTCTAATTCATAGAGATGTGTGTCTACTGTGTTTGTATTAGTTTCCAAGGCAGTGCTGTGATTGGAGCCTGTCCTCTCTGGAACAGAGTATAAGACAACTATATTATCCTGTAAATGACTCTAATGTGTTACTCTTTGCAGTTTTTGTCATCGCTATACATATGAAGAAAACCAAAGAAAGTTTGTAGTAAAATAATAGTTTAACCCCTTCCTCAGAGAAAATTAAAGTTTAATTAAAGCAAAATGAAGTTACAATTACAGGCAGGTAATTACTTTTGCACCAAAGTCTCTTAGAAAAATAGGTGTAAATAAATAAACATAGTAATAACTTTGAGAAGGGTAATCTGAGTCAGGGCCTCCCATGTAAGCTGTAATTTAAAGCAAAGGAGAGGAAAGAATGAAATATTGCAGCAGCATAATCCAGGGAATTAGAGAAGGAAATAGAAGAGATGAGTGAGAAGAAGAAATGAAAGGAATGCAAAGCCTTAGGGCTATTAGAAGGAAAATGAATAAAAAGTCTGGACCCAGAGGTGGAAAGCACATGCATGTGTGTGCACACACGCACACACACACACAGGCACACACACGCACGCACACAGGCACACACACAAAGGCCACTTCTAGTAAGAAGGAGCAAAAGAAAAAGAAACAGAATTTTCTATGAAGAAATAAAATACAAGAGAAGCTATGCTGGTCATGAGATTAGTTCCAACACTGATGTTATGTCGATACCTTTACTATTAATAATAATGTGCTGTCAAGTCAATTCTGCCTTGTGGCGGCGGATAATTGGTTACCATTTCTTTCTTCAGGGGTCATCCTAGGCTTCTGCAGCTTGCCCAAGGCCACAGAGGCTGGCTCTATTTGTAAGAGGCACAATGGGAAATTGAACTATCAACCTCTGGCTCCTCGGCCAGATATCTAAACCACTGAGCAATTTAAACAATATAAAAAAGCACAACATTTGCAGGCTTTCACAATGAAAAAAAAACCTCCATCAGATAACGACATTACAAAGAAGCAAGGGAGAAGCTCAATTGGTCTGCCTGCTGTCAGTGGATTTGAAGGGAAAGAAGTTGTAGAAGTGACAGCAGGGCTCAGTGGGTGTTAGATTTCACACTACATGGTTCTTAGATTTGCTAGGTACAAACCAAACCATAAAAGTGATAAACTTTCTTGAGATTCCATTTTGAAAATGCAGCAACCCCCTTAGTACTTACTGGATCAGTATGTCAAGAGAATTTGGAAACCGAAGGCCCAGGTGGCATTAAATCCTGTTTTTCTGGTGCATGGCAGTGTCTGGATAGGACCTACCTGGACACAAACTCTGTATGTGCCTCCTCTCTCCATGCAAAGAGAGCCTGTATAGAGTCTATATCATCTTCACAAGGGGCCAAAAACAGGGTCCAAATATGCTTATCAAAAGTATGTTGAGTGTGACAAGAAGAAAGAGGAGGCGGGTGGGTGTGAGAAATGGCTGCATTGGAAAGAGTCACTCTGAATATTTATGTACCTATCTTCGTGGGAGGGGAAGAACTAAAGATGAAGTAAAAATTGATAAACTGAAAAATCAGAAGAAGAGTCATACTGAAGATTGACCTATCCCGGAAAAAAATGGAGATGACTGAAAGGGAAGGAAGAAAAGAACAGCAAAGCTCAAGATTGGTAGAGAGTAGACACAATCAAGACTAGAGGTAGATAATGGCAAGGTGCATGTTAATGTTGAGTAAACAGATGAGTAGTACAAAATTCAAAGGCGGAAAGGGAAGTAGGAATAAGAGGTAGGAGGAATGTGACAGTGAGGGAGAGAAAGAGAGAGAGAGACTACAATATCACCACAGCCTGTAAGGCAGGGTGGATAGAAGAAGGAAGATGAGCCGTGGGAAAGGGTGGCTAAGGTTTCACAGCAGGGAAGGCCTACAGTCATTATCTGCCCCTTTGACGCAGTCGCGGCTGTTTACATGCTATAGAGTGAACCTAAGGGAAAAAAACAGCTCGCAGTGTAATGACTGAGCTTCCCAAACCACAGTTTACGAACTGGTTTCTAATCAGGGTTGCAAACTGTGGTTTGGTGCTGGCTATGATTAGTCAAAATGCAGGTGCAACCATAAAGCTTCCCATAGGCCCAAAATGGAAGGCAGGAAGAGGGTGCCCACACAAAAAGCAACGGAAGCAGGAAAAGTTTAAGCCTACAAGGCACTCTTGGTTTAATCCCCTAATCATTCCTAAGTTTTTCGCCAAGCCAAAATAAAATTACCAGCTGAAGTTTTAGTGAGATTTAAGCTTAAATGCCACACAGTCTTTCTTCAAAGAGTTACCTGTGTTAATTTGCTTCAGTCTGAGTAACAGAAACCAAACAGAAATCAAAACACAGGAACTGGAGCATCTTAAAGACTTATACATCACATCCACTGTGGCTTAGAAACAGATCAGATCACATTATGCCAAGTAGTTTAATACAAACTACTCTTAAGTGCACGTGTATGCTTGCTCTATCTTTGTGAGGCATTTCTTATGGTTCTTGCTGCTGGTTAGTTCCCTGAGGCAATACTAATTGATTTGTTGCTGGTAATTTGTCCGTGTCACTCTTCATTCCTGTGCCTTGATAGGACTCCTGTGTGCTGGAGGTAGTCGGCCTTGGTGTCAAAGTATCACTTTTCCATCCTGTTAAATCCCAGATAATTTTAGGTTTATTTTGGGATGGTTTTTGATGCTGTAGTTCATGGTGGCTTTATTTCTGAAGGATTCATCTATTCGTGTGAGCAGCAGTGTTGAGTCCCTTTTATGCTATGCTTGGCTAGTGCAGTTTCGGTGATTTACAGTGTATTTTTTTTTTAAAAAAAAATCCATGTCCATTATTTGCAGATTCAATTAATATACTTGCTTGGGAAAAAAAAGAGAGGTTAGAATCTGCAACAAGGACTTCATTGTGTCTAGAGCTCCCCAATAAGTTTCCCCTGCTTGCTGGGTTTGTAGTAGAATCCATAAGAAATTGTACTGAAAGCTGAAACAAGTCAATATCAAATATTTTCCATGCAGATTTAGAAAGTGGGATTTCTAAATCAGAATGTTGTTTGTATGTCCCCCCCCCCCGATTCCCAAGTATTCAGCTTGGGGGTATCTCTTGATATTATAATCTGTTGATTTCAGCAGTTGTAGTGGACAGTGTATCAAAGACCAAAGAACATTGTGGAGGTCCCACTCCATCAAAGCCTTCAATAGAGAGAACAGATGGAAAGTGTTACAGAGTAGGCTCAGGAGAGGATTTGGGTTTCAACACAGTATTCAAAGCCCTTCTTTTCCCATGAAGACACTCTCTACCAGAGGAGGAACAGAGTTGTTTTAGGCCTGGAACTAGAATTGTCTGTTTCCTTTCGATTAGAAGTCTCTTAACTAACTGAGTAAAACTAGAGGGAAAACACCGACACATTCAATAGGTCTATCATGAGCTTGTCCATGTCCACATGGCAATGTGACCTCCATGGTTTATCTTTCTCCACCCACTTTGGATTGCTCTGAAAATACTATTGTGTTAGCTATCAAAGGCTTGATATTAGTTGTCCAGTGTTGGGGGAAAGTCATGAGAGATGAAATAACAAAGTACATTTCTTACCAATTAATTTACATTTCTAGTGAATATTTAGCAGCTTTTCCAACTGAGAACTCTTGACTATCTTCAAGGGGTAAATTATTTTCTGCTCTACTTGTTAGAATCAGTAAATCTTATATTGACCTTCTTCAAATTTCTCATAGAAAAGGAACAGAAAATTATTATGTTTCTAGCCATTTAGATAGTAAAGGAGGAAGGAACCCACACATTTTCCAAGGGGAAGCAGTGTTAAGGGGAACAACAGTGGCAGCTACTGACAATTCTGATGCTTGTTACCCTCTGCTATAATATCCAACTGAGTCCATCTGCCAGTGGAAAAATCACTATTGGTAAAACAGGTTTCCTCCTCACTGCTGCTTCCCAGATTCTCTGTGCATCCCAAATTTGCTCCATGATTGTAATCTCTGAGGCAAGTTAGGGAACTTCCAAAGCAGTTAGAGTAGCTGCTTCCTGGAGTAGGCGAGCAGAAATCCACCCGCCTTAATAGATGTCACATGTTTTTATAATCTCCCCACCACTATGTCTTTCCTATCTAACCATACTGATCATGTTTGGTCTGTAGTTCATTTTGGTCCTTCCTCAGGTGTCTCTGATTCTGAAATACAACTTCATCTCCCCAACTGTTGTCAGGTACAGGGCACAGATGAGGCAACAAGCTTCCCTTAGCAACTAGATGTCCAAACAAGGAGGATGCAAGTGATATTGCAGCTACAGTATATGGAAACAATGGCATAGGAACGGCTCTCTGGGATCATATGATTCTCAGGACTAGGCACCTACGTCTGAATGCCACTTGCTTGCATAGACTCGAGTAGGATGATGTCCTTGCATTCAAGGAGAACAATGGTTAAACTCACTGGAGGAGTCTAGTGTTCAGATCCCCACTTGGTTATGGGTTATGAAGCTCACTAACCTTGGGCTAGTAGCCACATTCTGTCAGCCTGACTAAATGGAGAGAGTTGATTCTCAGGGGCCTGTGGATCAAGGTAGTTGGTTGTAGTAGACAATCAAGGTAGTAGAACTTTGTTTCCCAGAGAGGAATGAACCAAAAGTTATGATTTGGCTTCAGCTAAGCAACAGGAATTCAGCCATTAAATAACATAACACTTATTATATAAATACTGGACCTCATAGCTCTTGTGTTGTTGTCTTGAAATTCTAGACTTTGATACCTGTCCTTCTAATCATTGTTTGCATTTTGATTTTCAGTGAATCTTTTGAACACGAATGTTGCCCAAAACGAGCTAGGCTGGTTACCAGATCCTCCAGAATCTGGGGTAAGTAGAAAGGCTATGGCTTGCAAAAAAACTGGAAACAATGTGTATTGAAAGGAATTATGAGATTTTGTGGTGATAGAGCTGGCTGGATAGCTCAGTGAGTTGGAGTACCTGGTTGTGGAGCGAGGCGTCAGGAGTTCAATTCCCTACTTTGCCTCCCAGGAGAACAGCCAGATGCTGCCAGATGAACACCACTAGAAGAAGGGAATGGAAAATACCATTGAGTGCTTTATACCCAGGAAGTCCTGACAAGCGTCTCCATAAGTCAGATCAATTTGATGGCAGATAGTTAATAGTAATGGTGACACTTCCGAGGGTGACAGTGGCAACTGGCTGAGTTATCCTGATCTGAGATTGAAGAACAAGGCACATAGAAAAGCCCAAAACAAGAACAACAGGAGGGGTTGGGGCCTCCTAATGGTATGGTGTTTTAAACAAGGAGAGATTCAGGGTAAAAGTGAACTCCATAGGGCAGAAGCTGATGGGGAAAGAGTAATTTGAGAGGATGGACAGAGAGAGTGGTGGTGCATCTGATGAGGAGGTGCATAGAAAGCTGAAGTTCACAGAATAAAACAAATCTTCAGCTGCACTGCTCTCATCTAAAAGTAATCTGCAGAGAAATTTGATTTGGCAAGCATAGCTCAGCCAACTTTTCAAGACATCCTGATAGTCCAAATTTCAGTGCACTTTGCCTTTTATGGCCCTTCTGGCACAGTGACTGAGTAGCTCCCGTTGTTTGCCTCCTCCTTTCTAGACGTAAAAAAATCCACTGCCAAGCATCCCATTTCAGTGTCTGTTTCCTCTACTGGGAACAGTGGAGCAAAAGTTTCTTTGTGATTTTCCAGTTCCAGGTTGATGGTTCTGCCTGCAGATCATTTCTTGAGTTGGTTTTGCTCAAGTCAATTTGCTCACTTACCTATTTAAACTTATTTCTTTGCTTTTGACTTTCTGCACTTATTCCCTGACTGTCTAGCTTTGCATTTTTTGTGTTTGTTTAACCTCTCGGTAGGTGAATGAGGCTGGATGGAAGGGCAAGAAATGCGTAGGTTCTTTTACAAGCCATGTCTTAATTGTTTCGAATGTTAATCATCTTAGTGTTGACATCTATAATGGAGCAGTATTTACGTGTCTCACCCTGAAGATGGGGCCTCGCTGTTTCTATTAAGAGATTTTCTTCAATTAAATTCTTGATCAGATCACAGACTCCTATATTTTTATTTATTTTAAAAGATGGCTTTGTATAAGTCTACCCGGCTATACTTTGAACATTCTATGGAATGTGCTGTAAATCTCCATTGCCTCTGGGGATTGTCACATACATTTCAGCTTCCTGTTTGATGTTTCTGCAGTGCAGTGTGCTAACCTTGAATTTTCTGAATTGCTGCCACTTGCCTCCAGTTTGATAATTTTGCAGCATACAGAGGGATCAAAGAGGGCCCATTGTTCTACATCCTCACCCCATCATCCTGTAGTCTTCCATTCCCTAAAGGTTTCTTTTACAGTAGGAGTGGGGAATGTATAGCCTTCCAGATGCTGGACAGCAGCTCCCATCAGCTTTCGCCAGCCTGGTCTACAGTGAGGGATGATGGGTGAACAATCCAGCAACATCCGGAAGGCTGCACATTCTTCATCTGTTTTGCAGAGTCCATTCTGAGAGTAATTTGCAGATTTATGGCAACGTAACTAACACTTGTTTATTTACAGCTGTAGCGTAATAGACAAACTAAATAGCAAGAGAGTAGGAAGGCACAGGCAGATACAGGGAAGGCACATGTTGCTCATGTCAGTTCTGCCAAAGTAGCAGTATTCCTTTGCAGCTGTCTAAGACTGCTTCATGTACCCACTGTCTGGCTAGAGGCAAGCTACTTTTTTTTTCTCTGCCCAGTCAGCAATGACCTTTCTATCAATCTCGACATACAAGGAGTAGGTAAACCAGATCAAGGGACGTGGTGGCGCTGTGGGCTAACCCACAGAAGCCTGTGCTGCAGGGTCAGGAGACCAAGCAGTCGTAAGAGCGAATCCACGCAACGGAGTGAGCACCCGTCACTTGTCCCCCCTCCCGCCAACCTAGTGGTTCGAAAGCATGCAAATGCAAGGAGATAAATAGGGACCACCTCGGCGGGAAGGTAACAGTGTTCCGTGTCTAAGTCGCACTGGCCATGTGACCACGGAAGATTGTCTTCGGACAAAACGCTGGCTCTATGGCTTGGAAACGGGGATGAGCACCGCCCCCTAGAGTTGAACACGACTGGACAAAAATTGTCAAGGGGAACCTTTACCTTTACCTAGACCAGATCAACGTCATGAAGGGGAGGGGCTTTAATCTTTTGCTTGTGCCATGGCTCCGAATCGTCCTGTTTTTTTCATGTGGGCTGCTTTCCATGAGAGAACACTCATTAGAACTTTCTGTCTCAGGGTAAACAGCAAGCACGATTCCCCTTGATTTGGATAAGTACCATGGTAGGGGAAAAAATCTAAATTCTTCTTCCCCAGGAATTCAGCCCATTTCACCTATTGCTGTTGAGGTTGTTGTTTAAATGTGTCTCTATTCACTCCACAAAAAGCAGTCTCAAAGCCTTGTAACCTTGCACACACTCAAGTATATAAATCAATAGTTAGTATAACAAGGAAAAGAAAACCAATACCAACCAAACAAGGAGTTGATCACGTAAGGGCTTAGAACAGACCTGGGCAAAGTGCGGCCCGCCGGTCGTCGCTCCAGTCCAGTGTTGAAAGCACTTTTCAAGCCCAAGACTGGATTTCTCTCACTGAACAAGTTGAACATCAAAACCATTTATAGCTTTTTGTCTAAAGTTGATCGGTTGCTTATCTTTAACATACCGCAAAAAAAAACCTCTTTAGTATTTGTGAAGATTAGCAAGTTTAAAATAAAAACAATCATAACATCACTGTTTTATTTAATTTTTAAGTAAAGTTGGTTCGGCCCCCAAACACAGTTCAGATTTTTCACGTTCCCCCCCCCCATAGAAATTAATTGCCCACCCCTGGCTTAGAATGTGATTTATATTGAGTCTAGTTTGGTCCTGAGTGTCTTGCATAACAGGTTGAATATGGCTTTATATTCCAGACGTCAGCAGCAAGAGCTCTATCATCAGTGTCCGTTCATTAAGCAACTTTAGCTACGCAAAAGCTAAGAGAGATAATGCTTTCCTCACTTTCTGTAACAGAATAAGAGAGAGTAACCATTTTTGCAAGTGTTCCACAAGCAGCGTCCACAGGATGAAATATTGTGGCGAGCAGAGGTTGCGTTTTGATCAGATTTATTGAGATGGGGGGAGGGGGGAGACTGCAGTGAGTGTACTCTCGGTGTACCGATGGAATGAAAACTAATTTTTTTTATTATTTTAATCAGTTCATTTATTTAGTCCATTGGCCATGTGACATTTGCAAAAAGATACAAAGAAAAAAATAGCTGCATGATTACAGCTAATTATAAAATAGCACTACAAGTTGTAATAACAGTAGGAATCAACTTTATACAGCTAATAGTTTACTGGTATATGAAACTACATACAACACCGCTACATTTAGTGTGATGGTTATACAGTATTGTTTAGTGCAGGAGTAGGTGCATGTTGGCTGTGTATTATTTAATGCGTTTCTCCCCTATCTTTGGAGGGAATTTTGTTGTTACACAATCATCATACTGTATGTCATGTGATATCATAAAAATTACAACTATCAATTAAGAACAATGCCAGCATGAGAATACCAAATAATGGAAGCAGCATTTCCAAAGGCTTGGTAGAACAGAGTATTTACTGATTTCTGACAGTGAGGAAGAACCTAGCAGGATAGATTTCAAAGCTTTGTACCTAGGGTGCCATCGCAGAAAAGGCCTTACTTCATCTGGATGGCAGTCTTAATTTTAGCCACAGAAAGTACCTGGAGCCAAGCCTTAAGAGCTGCTTTGGGTTCCTGGTGAGCTTCATGTCGGGAGAGGTATTCTTTAAGGCAGTAGTTCTCAAGCCATGCATCTAGCAGTTTTGGATGTCAGCTCCCAGAAGCCCCAGTTAGCTTGACAAATGGTCAGGAATTCTGGGAGCTGAAATTCCAAATATTTTAAGAGCCAATGGCTGGGGACATACTATGCAAGCCCTATACAATTTCAGCAGTCAGTATCAGTGTTTTGAATTGAGTGTAGCAACAAATTGAGTGCACCAGTGCAGCTCTGGTGCAACATGGCTAGTGAAAGACATACAATTTAGTGATTGTGGAGCATTTGGCAGCATTTTGTACTGTCTTCAATTATGTGTAGAACATGCGGAAGTGATCAAGGGTTCTTTATGACAGTCGTGAGACCTTCCCTATGAATGTATATCTCATAACCCTGTAGTTAAAATCAACACTGAAACATTCTTTTGCATTAAGGTGGGTCTGACAGTATGTGTGGTTCCTGCCGGCTTATGGTCACTATCTGGAGTCTTGTAATTACTGGATATTGTAGCCAGGCAACCAACTCAACAAATATTGAGCAATATTCTTCTTTGCCCCATTCGTTTAGTCGGCTTTCAAGCTGCAAGCATGCCTCAATCGCCGGTTTTGTCAATTATTTCTTTGCAGACAAAGACAAAGTGTCCATGGCCTGACATCAGCCTTTGATACTCATGGGCCAGTGAGACTGTTTATTCTTCTGCCGGCCTTGGAAAGAGTAAAGAGTAAAGGCTGCTGGGGCTCTTGGGTAATTTGGAGCTGCCCTTTCAGAAAGCAGCAGAGGGGCAACTACCACACGTTGTCCACCTGGAAGGGAACAGTACGTTTCTTGCAATGCCTAGTCCTCCTCCCTGTAATTATGTGGAAGATTGGAAGGAAAGATCAGAAGGCAACATTGGCTCAGAAGCTTCCTACTGACATTTTCTTCTTCAGGGTGCCACCCTAATTAATGTTCCCTCACAGCCTCTTGACATACTAAGATTTTTAAGAAAACAGCATGGTTTGCCCATATGCGTGATATGGATCAGTTAGGATTCAGAGCACCA